AGCGAAGGTGCATTTGTAATCTATCAGGTGGTAGTAAGTAGGGACAAGAGCATAGAGGGAGATAGTGGAGATGGTGAGCTTAAACCACCAGTACTTGGCCCAGCTATAGATGCGGGGGGCGCTTAGGCGGGGGTGCATTTGTAACCTATGAGGTGGTAGTAAGTAGGGACAAGAGCATACAGGGAGATAGTGGAGATGGTGAGCTTAAACCACCAGTACTTGGCCCAGCTATAGATGCCGAGCCTGGAATGCCCCTGTGTGCCAGTTTTTGCGGAAGCGCCGGGGTACTGTTTCAAAATGTTTTTGGCTGGGGCTTCCAGCCATTGTGGTCCAGTACCCGGAAGCCCTGAAGGCGCGGCGTGTTAACGTGAAAGCGCCGCGGCCTATAGCTGGGCCAAGTACTGGTCGTTTAATGTGACAATGGCGAGGAGGAGACATGCATGCATGTGTGCAGGCACATACATATATCAAGGGAATTCCTGCCTGGTAGCCGCAGCTAATGGTCCTCACTGCCTCAGTGTGCTGAAATAGCAGTAACCACCAGCTGCCCAGTTTATTCCATCAGTGTAATGTTTTTGCCATCTGCATTCGATTTAGGACGTCATATGGTGAGAACAAAGTATGTTAAGTACGTGCAGCACCTTCGATATGTGCCAAATAGTTAGCAGTGTCGTGGCTGCAACACTACTCGGGGGCCTGCTCCGTGGGGTCGCCTGTGTAGCTCTGTGATTCCCGATTGTTGACTGCCTGACTCACAATTGTGGCGTGAACCTACTCCTGGAGTAAGTGCTAGTTCCTTTGCTCTCTGTTGTACGTGTGGACTGCCATGCTGGTGCTGCTCAGCTGCTTGTCGCAGTGGCCGCATGTCTTGCGTTGCCTTGCTGTCCTGCTGCCTGGGTTGGCTGCTTTCCTGCCCACTTGTCTCACTTGGCCGGTTGTCCATCTGCGTGCCTGCTGGCATGTTGATTGTTCCTTAGTCTCCCCGCGGCATACCTCGCTGGCCCGACCTGGTTGCATGTCGGTGTGCCGTGCTGTTACTTGACCTGCTGCCTTGTTGTTTGCCTTTGTGCCCACCTGGCTGCGCCCTGCTTGGCCGCCTCTTTGGTTTGGTGCGGCCTGCTTTGCTTCGCTGCTTGTGTTGTCACCAGTCTGGCTTTCCACCCGCAACAGGGGTTGAAATAGACTACGACTCAAAGCATCATATGAGGACCGTGTAGGGTGTCAACATCTTGACTAGTGAGTGAGAGTACGATGGAACAGTCTGTTATTCACCCTTGAAGCCTTTTTGTTGTTCTGGTACCGCATGTCAACCATATGATCTGTTGTCTTTGTGTGAAGTATGCACATTGAAGTCACCTTGGTTTTATCTCCTTAGCTTTGAGCTGGTTCTTGTGGGGCATGTGGCACCACTCTCCTCGTTGCGAGAAATGCTCTCTTTTCTCTCAGAGAGTGGTATTTCTCTCTATCACACCCTCCAGCATGTTGCTGCTGGTAGCACCGGAAGAGACTTGGAGGTTAGTCAGAAGATGCATGCCAGGTGGTGCTCAACCATCTCCCTTTTTGTTGTTCTGGTTCCCCATGTCATCCATATTGTCTGTCGTCTTTGTGAAGTATGCGTGTTGAAGTCACCTTCTTTTTATCTCCTTAGCATTGAGCTGCTTCTTGTGGGAGATGTTCTCTTCCTCTCAGGGAGTGGTCTCTCTTTATGGGGGCCTGCGGTGTTCAAGCATATTGCTGCCGACAGCCCCAGAGAGATGTGCTGGGCAGCCCGAAGATGCATGCCAGGTGGCGCTCAACTGTGTCAATGTACTAGCACTCAAGGGAGGTATCAAGTGGCCGAAAAACATTGAGCTGTGTAGTGCGAACCGTGAGATTTTATGCCCTGCATGGCAG